ACACCGACCCTTGAGGAACCCCGAAATCTAGTACTTTGTCATGTGAGGTGGCAGATCCGATGGCAACACACTGTCGTCGTTCACTCAGGTATGACTGTATCCAGCATAGTGCGGTATCAGTCACTCCATAAGAGTATTCCAGACGTTTATAAAGTATGCCATGGTCGATGACGTCAAATGCAGCTGACAAGTCCAGCATGACAAGCACCGCTCTGCACTTGTTATCCAATGCAGAAGCTATATCACTATGTACACGTAGGAGGGCCGTCTCAGTAGAGTGTCCCATGCGGTAGGCCGATTGCATGTTGTCATGTAGACTGTTTGCATGGAGATGAACCTCTAAACGCCGGGACACAACCTTCTCCAAGATATTAGACAGAAAAGGCAGATTTGAAACTGGGCGGTAGTTTTTCAACTCTTCCCTGTCCATTCCAGGCTTTTTTAACAATGGTCTGACATGTGCCTTCTTGAAACATAATGGAACCTTTGACTCAGCCAATGATTTGTTCATGATTGCGGTAATCAAAGGAAGCAGTGCTTCAAGACATTGCTTTAATAGGTCTGTAGGCAGTGGATCAAGCTCACAGGACTTCGATTGCGAGGTCATGATAATGTTGCGCAACTCTTCCTGGGTTGTTGGTGAGAGCTTTGTCAAGCGGGTTAGTCTTATATTTGGAGGGTCAGCAAGCGACCGTCAAATTGTTAAATTAGGCATTTGCGGCCCAGAGAACTCTGGGATAAAAGACATTTCATGAAGAGGATTTATTTGATTTCCGAGATGTAACAATCAATATTCCTACACCTAAAAGGAAAACAGGATTACACGTAATACATTTCTCACCTGTCCGAATCTGTCACCTGTCCGAAATCCGTGGGTTTTCTCTGGGTACTCCGGTTTCCATCCACATGAAGACCCCCGCGAGCTAGCATCTGTGCCAACAAGAGTGATTAATGAAAATTAAAATAACTTGTTTATGTTGTAGAGTCATTATTTGTCAATATTGCTTTTAACATATTTGTAGTATTTAGCTATACGCGTTCGTATATATAACGGAAATCAGCCTTCCGTGTAATATTGTACGTAACGCATTGCCGCGAAACTTTTAGCGCGCGCTTGGAAATAGCACGTGGCAATGTGAGTGAGATACTGGGAGGATGTGATGTAATGTGTTGTAAACCTGTCTGTCCAGTACGTATTGCATGTGTATATTATTATTAGAGTTGAATTTTTGGTAGTTTACTTGGCGCAGTGGTCACTTTGAGAGCCAGAGCGAGCACAACTATGTATATACCTATACGTACTTATACCTAACCAGCATAGAGATTGAAAGATGTAGCGGGCACTAGAGCCAAAAAAGTCCACCGTGAACGTACTGAACGAGTCAGACTGAGGACTCGGTGGACTTTGTCCCGAGAAAATCCTCTTCACATGGAAGAGGGTTTTTACATGAAATACACCAATAATAAACAAAGAACGCAGGAGTTGCCATATGTCCAGGCAAAGACGACTATTACATTTAATTATTGTTGCAAATTAAATTAAGTTTTTATTTTCAAATATAAAATAATTTGAGGATCCGCATTAAGCCACTCTGGTCTCTGTGGAGTATAACATATAGATAAATAGATAGAATCAAGCTGTTCTTATGTGTCTGTGTTCAACTCGTTTGAATATAGGTTCAATTCAATTGTACCTATCTTTATGGTGCAAACACTTTTTACCTTCTACTTCTAAATGGTAATGACCAACTTCAGCAAGTTGAAGATAATGTCATGAGATTAAGTCGATTCGAAGAAAGCCAAAATGATATATACATGTATGTAAATTTAATTTTGAGGGTACAGTGACAGGAGAGCAGATTTAAAAGATTCAGTAGTAGAACAGGAGGATATGATATCTGGTGGGATCTTATTCCACTCAGGTATTGATCGTGGAAAGAAGGATTGTTTTCTGACCTGGGTTCTGCAGTGAGGTATTTGGAAGGATTGGTGACGGGCATGCCTTGATTGCCTGGTTGCTGTACAAGTCTAGTGTGTTTACAACTAATAGCTACCTGATTGTTTACAATTTTGAACATCACTACATAGGCTTGTGTCTCTGCGTCTGTCGGCAAGGGATCGCCATTTAAGATGGTTGTTATATTAGTGTAGACGTTTTTTTCTCTTACCCTGGACAGGTGTATCCGCACTTTTACCGGTGTGAGATTTCCTTTTCTCTTACCCTGGACAGGTGTATCCGCATTTTTACCGGTGTGAGATTTCCTTGTCTCACCCTAGGGTTGAGACGGGGGGATTCCCCTATTCCTAACAATGGCATGACGTCACTTTAACAATACAATGACATCACGTCAACAATCCATCAACGTCACGTCAACCCTGAATTTAGCATGTAACGTTATCATTACATTGTGCATATGATACACAATGAAAGAACAGGGTAAGAGAAAAAGAATCATTCACCCCCTTGTGGGTGAGATAGTGGAATCTCAACCCTCGGGGAAAGATTCTTTAGTTGCCAAACACTCGGCAAAGTCTCGTGTTTGGCAACTTAAGAATCATCCCCCTCGGGTTGAGATTCTCCTATCTCACCCCCAAGGGGGTGAAAGATTCTATTAGTCTCACCCTAGGGTTGAGACGGGGGGATTCCCCTTTTCATAAAAATGGCATGATGTCACTTCAACAATACAATGACGTCACGTCAACAATCCATCAACGTCACGTCAACCCTGAATTTAGCATGTAACGTTATCATTACATTGTGTATATGATACACAATGATAGAACAGGGTAAGAGAAAAAGAATCATTCACCCCCTTGTGGGTGAGAGAGGGGAATCTCAACCCTCGGGAAAAGATTCTTAAGTTGCCAAACACTCGGCAAAGCCTCGTCTTTGGCATCTTAAGAATCACCCCCCTCGGGTTGAGATTCTCCAATCTCACCCCAAGGGGGTGAAAGATGCTATTATTCTCTTACCCTGGACAGGGATATCCGCCATTTTACCGGTGTGATATTTTCTTATCTCACCCCAGGGTTGAGACAAGCTACACATGTTCTTTGCACGTTCTCAACAATTGAATGACGTCATAGCAACAATACCATGACGTCACGGCAACAATACAATGACGTCACGTCGACAATTCAGCCGCATCACATCAACATTGTCTTGCATTGATGTAACGTCTATATAAAATATAAGGGTAAACAGTGTAAGAGAAAAATAATCATTCACCACCTTAGGAGTGAGACAGGGTAATCTCAACCCTCGGGGTAAGATTACCCTGTCTCACCCCCAAGGGGGTGAAAGATTCTATTAGTCTCACCCCCAAGGGGTGAAAGATTCTGTTAGTTTAGTACGTACGTATTTACTTGAATTAAAGATATCTTCAACTGAAACGAAACTAGGAAGTTCTTCAAACGAATTATTTGGTATTACTATTCATAAATTTCCACTTTTTAAATAATATCATTTGTTATTTATTACAAGAGACAATGTATCACATTGTGTGGTTTTGGATATTGCTGGTCCTGTTAATCCTGGGGTAAATAGTATAACCCGACTTTAGATGTCAAGCGCCTGTAAGACATTGACGAACATATTATCACGTGTGAAAATAGAAATTTCCAGCAAACCATTTTCATTTTGGAAACCGGCGTTTGTTCTTCTTGCAGAAAGTATATCAAGAATATTTGCTGTGTGCAACGCACATATCGTCTAATCACACAATGGATACGAAACATGAAAACATAGACATTACGCCTTCGAAAGATGGCGGCGTACTTAAAGAAATTCTTCGAGAAGGGACAGGAGAAGATAAGCCCTTAGCCGGCGATAAAGTGTTGGTACATTATGTCGGCACACTGGAAGATGGCACAGAGTTCGACTCTAGCCGAGGAAGAGGGGACAAATTTGAATTTGACCTGGGAAAAGGTACGCATGCAACTTGACAATGAGTGGTGGGCATGCATGCTTTTGTAACGGTGTATCTAGATCTGCCGCCTTGAAAGGCGGAGTGGGATTGGCCCCCCCCCCCCTCAGCATGATTTACAACTCGGTATTAATGAAAAGAAAGTACCAGAGAAGTAAATAAGTTAGAACTGTATTGGATGGTTCCACAAATTAAAGTGCACAATTGAACACCACAGATTGAGATTCATAATCGCAGTTGGGATGTCAACTACCATACTAAACTTACATATATACATTGTTACAGGTATCATAATAACTTTGCACATAAATTTAATTACTTACAATATTGTTTTGTATTTGAAGATTTCGTACCAATTAAGTAACTACAGTGTAAGTACATATATAGCAGGCATTTAGAGTGCTGTGTCTTACAAGCAGCATTTCTAACAGTTGTTTGGTGTTTCAAGAAGTCTTTAAATTATATGGGTGATAATAATCATAATATATCCTAAATTATACGAAAACATTTGCTGTAATAAGCTCCCCTTCTCAATTTTCTGGAGGAATTGAAATGATATTAACGCCCTCCCAGTGCTGACAAGGTACAGTCATGATATTATCAAAGGTTTGTGTAGTGATCATGGCTGGATTTCCAATGAAGTGGATAAATATTTGATATCCAAATCTCCAGCCGCGCAGGATTGTTAGTGGAAATGTTTCAACTTCTTGTCCAGTGCAAAACAGAAACTTCTTTCCTAGTTCAGATTACAAAAGACACAACTGGACTGATACAGGCCCAGTGGGCCACTTTTGTTTTATTTTGCCATGCAGTTTTTCTTCTGTGGACAGTATGATATATCAGCATGCATGCTTAGAAGCTATGGGCCTTATTTATGTTAAACCAACCCAAATAAAAGTAATTTGTGTTTTTCAGGAAGTGTGATCAAGTCATGGGATTTGGGTGTAGCTACTATGAAGAAGGGAGAAATCTGTCGACTAACATGTCGCGGTGATTATGCCTATGGGGAGAATGGATCCCCTCCTAAGATACCTGCTAACGCCACACTTATTTTTGAAGTGGAACTGTTTGAATGGAAAGGTAAGACATTAAAGAGTTTCTATTGCTTTTATTCATACATATCATTTTGACACTCTTAAAATTCTTACTATAATAATGAACAAAATGGACATGCTGGAAACCTGTGCAAATATATATGTCTTACGCACTGTGATCTGGCAATCAGTGGTCACAGACAATGATACAGCATGGTGTAGGGGACATCCGGGTAAATACGGACACTTTTCAAATGATGACTGCTAAATTTCAGTTTATCAACATGCTATGTGCGATCTAGCATAGATATTCTATGAACATGTTTTGTCAGAATGAAGGTCTGTTTCTGTTGCTTTGTTTAGTTATGCTTTTGATAAGTTGGTAATTACGGACATGTGTCAGGTATTTACGTAGACGCTACTGTAATCATGCATTCACCAAATCAAACCATAGAAACTGTTCACAATGTTTCGCCAGAGATTGCTACATGTTCTGGTTCATGTTCTTATCATGTTGGCATACAACGTACCGGGCAGTTTGTACTTATAACTTACCTCCCCTGTCACAGACTTTTCACAGCGACATTCTTTGAGCGCTGGCATGCTGCTATTTTATTTTGTGATATCGGCGAGTCCAAAATGTAGTTTAACAATCTATTTAGGTGTATAAGTGTGTTAATTCAGATATTAGATGTTTGCTTGTAAACAGAAATCCATGTAAAAGCCTTTTTTGATAACCGGAGTCAAAAAATATCTCTGTAAAGAACCATCTTAATGATAATTAATCAATTAAGAACTGTCTGTATTTACCAGCCTAATAAAAATCTGGGAGAAATTACGGACGCCTAAGACACAACAGTTCTTCCTCAAATTTTTATTTTGATATACTACTGCAATCTTAAAATATATAAGTAACAACAGTAAGAGTACAATATTAAATATACTGAGTATGTATTTGGTTTTTGTGGAGATAATAGTTACATAACCGTTGTCTCGAATCATAGCTGTTTTTTTCGGACATCGTTTCCGAAAACCAAGTTTCCGGACATGTCGCAAGGTGCTCGCATATCATGCATGATGACGAATACTATTAGACACGCCATTGCTATTTTTAGACATTGTACTATTCCAGGTACATTCAGTCAAACATCCATACTAGAAGATCGATCTACGTCTAGCATGAACGAAGTTTGATTATTCATATGTAATGGATTATGTATGATCCATTTAAGAACTGTCCGTATTTACCTGGAAGTCCCCTAATTATCCTTTCAATACACATGATACATCTATACATTTACATGTGATCATCTATACATTTTATGCCCCGGCCCTTTTTTTTTAGCAAGCCTTTATGAAGCACACTAATTGTACTCTTATTAATACTTTTAAGGAAAGAGGTTTACTAAGAAAACTCTGTGCATATACGAAAATTGTATGCTTTTATATTGTGTTCTGTCAGCAGAAGCTCATATGTTGGTTAAAGCAAGGTGGTAATGGACTCCACAATATAACATACAAGTTACACACTGGTACACACAAGACATAACACACAATATGCCACATCATGCTAAATACATTGTATAATGCCAAGCACTTCCAGATTAAACATTCCCGCTTCAAAGAAAATGTGTCCCACATTTCAACATTCAGTCTGAAATCTAGTATAGCTGCCATCTTGAAAATCTATTTTGAACTTAAACTCAAATTTGTCTCAATTGTTTTTATTGAAATTTGATTGCATGGTCAGTGTAATATCCAAACCTATTCTTGTTATCTGAGCTTCTTGTTATTTTGAAATCTATTATAAATCCAATGTATGGTCACCAAACACAACCTTGAAATATACCATTGATCTAAATTCAAATTTTAGGGAACTGATCATGATGAATACAAATCCTAGTTGGAATGGTCAGTGCATTTTTTTTTAGATTTTCTGTCTATGTATTATATATCTTTTTGTTGAATTGCCGTTTGAAGGAGAAGACATCTCGGAGAAGAAAGATGGCTCTGTAATTCGCCACCTTGTACAGACTGGAGAGGGCTATCAAACACCCAACGACGAAGCCTCAGTCAAAGGTAAGCCATTAAGGTTACCTCTGTACCATGTATTTGAACTGAAAGGTCCAGCTGCTTTAAAAATTAAAAATAAATAAACTTATCTCTCATTCCCAATGTCCTATTAAATCGGGTGTAAAAGACCACTTGCCCGTCGTCAGGGGCAACCAGTTTTAGAGCTTGAGTAAGTGCAAACAGTTGGGTAACTTGCCCAAAGCAAGTACTATAAACTGGTTTCTTAAACAGTGTTTTGCATGTGTTTGCTCCATTTCTCTAACTGGAGATGAATAAGAATTAATTGGACTGTCATGACTGTATACGTAGTGTATAAATGAACAAATAAGTTTGTCTATTTTTATTTTGATGGAACATTTTTTAGTAGAATACTACCAGTCTACTGATGTTCCTTTAAAGTTGATGATAGAGAATGTTTTTGTTATTACAGTACACTAGGTGGGACGCTGTGGTATGACCATGTTTTTGTTATTACAGTACACTAAGTGGGACGCTGTGGTATGACCGTGTTTTTGTTAGTACAGTACACTAAGTGGGACGCTGTGGTATGACCATGTTTTTGTTATGACAGTACACTACATGGGACGCTGTGGTATGACCATGTTTTTGTTATTACAGTACACTAAGTGGGAAGCTGTGGTATGACCATGTTTTTGTTATTACAGTACACTACGTGGGACGCTGTGGTATGACCGTGTTTGACGACCAACAGGTGGAGTTCATCCTGGGGGAGGGAGACGATGCAGGTGTCATTGAAGGTGTTGAAGTCGCCATCAAACAAATGAAAAAGAAGGAAAAAAGTCGTCTGGAAATTCAGCCCTCAATGGCATATGGAGAGGCAGGAAACTCCAAGTTCAACATTCCACCTAACACTCCACTACAGTTTGATGTCGAATTGTTGTCGTTTGAAAAGGTTTGTGATAAAACAGAATTTTATACAATTTGTTTGTGTGGTGTTGGGCCCTGTTACAGATAAAGTATGTGTAATATCTAAAATTGTTACAGAAAAGGTATGTTAGATATCTGAGCTTGTTACATAATATCTGAGCTTGTAGCAGAAAAGGTATGTTAGATGTCAGAGCTTGTTACAGAAAAGATATGTTAGATGTCAGAGCTTGTTACAGTAAAGGTATGTTAAATACTTGAGCTTGTGACATAATGTCTTAGCTTGTAACAGTAAAGGTATGTTAGATGTCAGAGCTTGTTACAGTAAAGGTATGTTAGATGTCAGAGCTTGTTACAGTAAAGGTATGTTAAATACTTGAGCTTGTTACATAATATCTGAGCTTGTTGCAGTAAAGGTATGTTAGATGTCATAGCTTGTAACAGTAAAGGTATGTTAGATGTCAGAGCTTGTTACAGTTAAGGTATGTTAGATGTCAGAGCTTGTAATAGAAAAGGTATATTAGATGTCAGAGCTTGTAACAGAAAAGGTATGTTAGATGTCAGAGCTTGTTACAGTTAAGGTATGTTAGATGTCAGAGCTTGTAATAGAAAAGGTATGTTAGATGTCAGAGCTTGTAACAGAAAAGGTATGTTAGATGTCAGAGCTTGTTACAGTAAAGGTATGTTAAATACTTGAGCTTGTTACATTATATCTGAGCTTGTACCAGAAAAGGTATGTTAGATGTCAGAGCTTGTTACAGAAAACGTATGTTAGATACTTGAGCTTGTTACATAATGTCTGAGCTTGTAACAGTAAAGGAATGTTAGATACTTGAGCTTGTTACATAATATCTGAGCTTGTAACAGTAAAGGTATGTTAGATACTTGAGCTTGTTACATAATATCTGAGCTTGTTACAGTAAAGGTATGTTATATACTTGAGCTTGTTACATAATATCTGAGCTTGTTACAGTAAAGGTATGTTATATACTTGAGCTTGTTACATAATATCTGAGCTTGTTGCAGTAAAGGTATGTTAGATGTCATAACTTGTAACAGTAAAGGTATGTTAGATGTCAGAGCTTGTTACAGTAAAAGTATGTTAGATGTCTGAGCTTGTTACAGAAAAGGTATGTTAGATACTTGAGCTTGTTTCATAATATCTGAGCTTGTAACAGTAAAGGTATGTTAGATACTTGAGCTTGTTACATAATGTCTGAGCTTGTAACAGTAAAGGAATGTTAGATACTTGAGCTTGTTACATAATATCTGAGCTTGTTACAGTAAAGGTATGTTATATACTTGAGCTTGTTACATAATATCTGAGCTTGTAACAGTAAAGGTATGTTAGATACTTGAGCTTGTTACATAATATCTGAGCTTGTTGCAGTAAAGGTATGTTAGATGTCATAACTTGTAACAGTAAAGGTATGTTAGATGTCAGAGCTTGTTACAGTAAAGGTATGTTAGATACTTGAGCTTGATACATAATATCTGAGCTTGTAACAGTAAAGGTATGTTAGATGTCAGCGCTTGTTACAGTAAAGGTATGTTAGATACTTGAGCATGTTACATAATATCTGAGCTTGTAACAGTAAAGGTATGGTAGATACTTGAGCTTGTTACATAATGTCTGAGCTTGTTGCAGTAAAGGTATGTTAGATGTCAGCGCTTGTTACAGTAAAGGTATGTTATATGTCAGAGCTTGTTACAGTAAAAGTATGTTAGATGTCTGAGCTTGTTACAGAAAAGGTTTGTTAGATGTCAGAGCGTGTAACAGAAAAGGTATGTTAGATGTCAGAGCTTGTTACAGTAAAAGTATGTTAGATGTCTGAGCTTGTTACAGAAAAGGTATGTTAGATACTTGAGCTTGTTACATAATATCTGAGCTTGTAACAGAAAAGGTTTGTTAGATGTGTGGAGAGAAATGAGCACTTGGCAAAAATAGTATTCTGGCGAAGGACGAAATTTTGACTTGGAAAAACACTTCCGAATACAGTAATTGGGGGACACAGGTAGACAAAACTAGCCAACACCACTTTAGTCTACACTGAAATGTAGTTTGCGGTGACTGATGACATTAAGTACTACATGGAACTTATTTTGTTTACAGGCAAAAGAATCCTGGGAGATGGATGCAAATGAGAAACTTGAACAGGCAGAGATTAAGAAGGCAAAGGGAACATCTTACTTTAAGGTACAGTGTAGGTGCCTTGTTTTTAGCTGATAAGTCCTTTTGTTGATCAGGTTGTAACTGATTATGTACCACGTTAGAACAAGTACTTTTAGAAATATCTTGTTCATAGATTAGTGTTTATAATACACGTATTATGGCTGTTTTGATAACTGTAGTCATTGTCAGCATAAAATCATTAAAAGAAAAGATAATGTTAAGAGCCAGAATTTAACATCACTCAACTAGAAATTGTTAAAGTTGTTCACACTAGCTTACACTTATATATATAATGTATAAGGCTACAGAAGTAAAAAAAGCACGTGGTGTTTAACCATTTGATGTTCAGCTGTCTACACATGTAACTGGTAAGCGCTCACTATAGATCAAGTTGTTGGTGTTAAGTCGTCGTTACTGGTGAACAACACTTTATCCATAGATATATATATGTGTTCATGTATACATTCATTGGTTAATGATAGCTTCAAATTCATAAGTTATTGATGTATACTTTCACTGGTAGGCAGAGAAATACAAGATGGCTGTCAAGTTCTACAGTGCCGTTGTATCCTTGCTGGACAAAGCCACTGGGATGGATTCAGAAGAAGATTCTGCACGCAAGACTTCCCTCCTACTGGCAGCCTTTCTGAACCTGGCTATGTGCTACCTCAAACTGGACGACGCCCATGAAGCCCAGGGTCAATGTGATAAGGCCCTGGAACAGGACAGCAAAAATGTAAAGGCGCTGTTCAGGCGAGGACAGGTGAGTGTTAAATCTTACATACATCAGCAGGGATATATCCAACAAAGTTTAACGTAGGCCTGGTGTGAGAATATCTACTATCAAAGCGTCCTCAAGTATAATTTTTACCTGTGTCTTATCTCAATGTTTCTGTTGGTTTGATATAAAATTGAATTACCTTTATCTTCATTTCAAATAAATCAGGAATAAAATCATCCTTGATTTTACCTACCATGGATGGTTTTAAGTAAGATGAGGAGTGCAAGAATTAGGTCACTGTGACCAATGCTTTGGCCTTTGACCTTTACTTTTGAAAATGTTTGTCTGGGGCATATCTTCTATACTATTTCACCTGGAGTAATCAGATTTGGTGTACAAGGACATCTTGGGATGACGGAGTGCAGAGTGCAAGAATTAGGATACTGTGACCAATGCTTTGGCCTTTGACCTTTACTTTTGAAAAAAATCGTCCGGGGCATATCTACCCTACATTTTCACCTGGAGTAACCATATTTGGTGTACAAGGACATCTTGGGATTGCGGAGTACAAGAAGTAGGTCACTAGGACCTAACTGTGACCTATGCTTCCTGACATAAGTGTACTTACTGTTTGTTAAATATAGAAATCATTACTGGTGGGGTACTATGGATTGCCTTGCAATACTTTGCCCTCTTTGTGAAGGGTGAATTTAATATTGGGCGAAAAAGGATTTTACCGTTGAAGTGCAAAATTTGACTGGGAGAAAATTTCCCAGCATACAGTACAATGTACTACAAGTTAAACATTCACCAAAGTTCATATTTTTATACATTAGCAATATATCAAAGTCACTCCGGCCTGTTTTGGGATATTTCTGTAAGATGTGGACTGTAAATGGAATATTTGGATTTATGTCTGCAGCAAAAATTTAATGAATGTTAAATGAATGTTGGATTAAAATAATTAATAAAAGGTGCTTCATCCCAAGTTAATCATTTTTTAACATTTCGAATCATGCAAATTCATGTACTATTATAAGTGGGTTTTAACCAATAAAAAGTGTCATTATATGGCTGATGTAGTAGAATTTATAATCTCTCTATTCTTGTGTTGCAGGCTCTACAGAGCAAAGGAGATTATGACCTGGCTAAGAAGGATTTTGAGAGTGTGGTTGAGCTTGACCCTCAAAACAAAGCAGCTAAGAACCAAATAACTAGGTGTATGCAAAAAATCAAGGAGTTCAAAGAGAAAGAGAAAAAAATGTACGCAGGGATGTTCCAGAAATTTGCAGAGATTGACAGCAAAAAGGTAAAATTCCTAATATATTGCAAACCTGTATGCACTGTTTAGGGAATCATTTTGTTTCTGTGGATAAAAAGAGTTTCTTGAGATACATTCACACATCCCATATCCACAAAACTAGCAACATGGGCATTCAAATATATCGTACTCTGAAACCAAGCAACAGGAACATACATCATACAGGGCATCCTCGATCCGGAGATACGTTCACCTACGTTCTCTGCACCCCTGGAATATGACAAATTAATCAAAGGCTCAGTGTGCAGGTCCCTGTGGATGATGTTTGATCCTTTGATGTTCATCAAAAGAATCTTGTTTTAGCATAACGGTAAAATTGACTGTCTTAAAACTTGGGTGTCACTCCTCTGTAATCTTCAAGGATAGGTACTATCCTAGTGATTGGTCAGGTTTTTATCTGACATCATTCAAATATCTAGCCCTGTGCCTTCAAATTTGCTATGACATATTCCAGGGGTGCAGTGAGCGTGAAGTTTAAGCGTAACCCGTGAAGTCACGAGGATGGCAACAGGGACATATATACATTCCATACAATGGAAATATACAGCCTGCACTCCTTTTTCAGGTCAAATACACACATAAGGATCATGCATATGTATGGAGATCAAGTGTAATTTCCATTGGCTAAATGACACACCTCTATATACAACAAATACAGATACTGGGAAAATGGTGATCTTCCTATGGAATCTTCACTACATGTACTTATACACAGAAAAAACAAATCACCTTTGTTCCTAGTTGATTATTAACTCGCCTGCCTAAAGAGGATCTAAGCTTACGCCATTGCGCATCGTCCATCGTCCAACGTCTATCCAACACCAACATCATCAGATGGTGGGCAGTTCAAATTGGCATTGCCTTAGGTCTGTTCTTAAACAATTCTTGTTATCTATATTTCTCAAGATTTTGTGGATGAATTTTTCTAAAATTGAGGTTCTCCCTCGGTCCTTTAATAGTTTAGCATGTTTAATTTTGAAACTGATTGGAGTATCAAGATGGCTGCTTGATAGCCATATTTTATTTTGAAAGTTGATGTTTTTATCCTACTGTATTTCTCTAAAAGTCTTGGATAGATATTCAGAGCCATGCCTTTTATTATGCTCCCTGAAAGTTTTCGGGGGAGCATATAGTTGCTGCTTCGTGTACATGTCCGGTGCTTAACTTTACCCACATTTAAGCCAGAATCATGAAACTTGGTTTATACATCACTCATACTAAGATGATGTGCACTATGCCAAATATAGGGCCCACAACCCCAAATTTACAGAGTAATTGCCCTTTTCCGGGAGCATACATCAGTTCCACTAATACTCTTGTTATCATTCGTTTCTGGTGATTCATCTGATAGGTAACTTTTCAATTGTTACGTCGGTAAGCATCAAACTTGATCAGAATGTGTCATAATGTTTAGTCTGTCAAATATTTTGAATGAAATAGTTATGATATTTTGTAATGTTATTAACTTGAATAAACAAGCATTCAATAGCGACCGCTGCCACTTTTCCATTTTAGTTAACTTTCACGTATGATATTCATGATAGGTAATGGGTTCAAAATGAATCCTTTTTCATCTAAAAAAAGAACATGGAGTTTGTCAACATCACAAGATCTACTTTTTCTATGCCGTAAACATAAAATCAGTTTGCCAATTGGCCGCTTTGAGCTTTTTTTGATTGGTCATAAAAAGGTTGCACAGTGCCATTAACGCAAGGCGCCATCCGGTCCTAGTGAAAATATCAAGCTTACATAGAACTAATGTTAAACCAGCCACTACCATGATCCCAGCTTACATAGAAATAATGTTAAACCGGTCACTACCATGATCTACATAGAACTAATGTTAAGATAATAGGATTGTGTCACCATTTCTCAGTAGAATTTCTTCAAATTTTGTAGTTATATTGCTTTAAAGTAAAGAAAATTTTCTGCCACAAAAAAAATATAGGTTGTCAGAATTTTAGGGATTTTAAATGGAGATTTATGTAAAAAGGAGTGAATTTTGAAAAAAAAATGAAAGACA